CCTGGAGAGGCCCGCGATGGGCGCCCCGTTGCCCGCCCCCAGCTCCCCACCAGCTCCCTCACGCACCGTGTGGAGACGCCGCCGCGGCTCCCTCAGACACCAGCGGGCCAACCACCTCAGGAGACGCCACGGGAAAGCTGCAGTGCCTACCGCAGTTCCGGGGCGGAGCTTACACACGCACGTGGGCGCTCTACGCAGGAAGTCCCGCCCTCAGGCTAGACGCCGCCACTTGATTCGCTGCCGCGCGGCAGGGCGCTTCCGCGATGGGGGAGTGCGCGGCGCGGAGGGAGCTCGGACCCGGCTGTGAGGGCGGCGCTCCTTCCGCAACGTAGAGGCGAGCGGAGGTCGCGGTCCTCTAGCAGGCGCGAGGACGCGGGGTGGGTTGCGGTCCGCTTTTAGTGCACGGGGCTGGCTACGTGTTGAGGGCTTACTGTGTGTTCGGAGCTTTGCAAACAGTTTCGCAATTAATTTGCAGCCCAGCTAGCCTGCTGTTGGAGGTACTGTTTTCCGCAGTTTTTTCATGCCACGCCCATTGCCCACTGATGGTGAGGGCAGGTCGGCCTGATTCTAAAGCCCAGGCTTTAACCGCCACGCTAAGCTGGCTCCTTTGTTACAGGCAGAGAAATCAGCTTCATAGCCTGGTGATCTTGGCAAGTCCGAAAGGGCAGTGGGGGAAATCACCAAGCTTAGGTCAAGGGAGGCTCTCTACCCGCTTGGAGCCACCGCGAGACAGGACTTAACTCATTTATTGGGAGGACTTGCCAGTGTGTCCCCAAGAGTCTGGGTGGCATAGAGCCTGTGTCCAAGTGGTGCCTGAAAAGGTGATGACAGGACTAGAACTGTCCCTCACGGCAGAGGAGGAAGGAAGGGCTGTGTGTCCGTCCCCCGGGGCAGGACAGAGGTTCCTGTCTCCTCTGAGCCAGTTACACACCTTGGAGCATGAGCTTTGCCCCTTAACCTTTTGCACTGATAACTGGGCTGTTCTAAAGATGTTATCAAACAGAGTCTGAGCCTGGAGCCGGTCTGCCTTGGGCCTGCTGGTAGTGTGCGGGTTCTTCATGTAGGAGAGATTTCACAATATGGGTCCAGGTGATTTTGAGAGTACATTTATTAAAGCTGAGGACATGAAATAGAGGAAGGACTTAGGGTAGAAGAAGCCACAAGACAGAGCCTAGGCAGTGCTCTCTGCTTTAGCTCCCTAGAAACTTTGTAGGAAAGAAGTGAGCCAAGGCGGGGGCACTGTCAGCTCAGTGGGTGGTCAGAGAAAAAGGGAGCCTTGGAGACAGGATGGGGGGGGTAAGCCTGGGATGAGCTGTCGCTGCCCATTGCTCCCCTGGTTGCCAGTTTTGTGGGGAACCTTAGAGTTTAGGAGGAAGTAAGAAGTTCATGCCTGGGAAGGGCCATGGGCATGCTCTAGAGTGAGCCACACTGGGTATTTGTCTTGAGGTTTTTTTAAATATTTTTTTTTCTGTGGGTGAGAATCTTAGGGAAGGGTTTCAGTAAAATATTTATCAGATTTCCAGGTGCTTTTTGAAAGTGCTGATGCATCACTTTAGGGGAGTTTAGGATTATTCTCTGCTCTGCTTTACTGTTTCACTTTTATCTGTGGTCTGTCTGGCTTTAATGGGCTTTTTGTTATTTGTTCCCCTGACTTCATCTGTCCTTGAGTTTGTCTGGCACAATTGAGTCTCTATTCTCTATTTTCCCTGACCAGGGTGATTTAAACTATGTATTCTGTGGTTAGGGAGGAGAGGAATAATCTATTTGCTCTCATGTCCTTGGTCAGGGGAGATAATGTCTTGTGATTCACTAGCTGGCTGTAAGTTGTTAAAATTGTTTGACCTTGTCTAATTTTCTTGTCTCAGTTTTCCTATTCCACTTGCCCAGGACTTTTTCTAGCTTCTTACTTTCCTACCACAAAGGGATTAACCCAATGGCTTGGATAATGAGAAGTAAAGGGTTAAGTGACCATGAATAAGCCCTTGTGGGATCAGGATATGTGGAAAGACATTTGGGTCCACCTGCAAGAACCCGAGGCAGTCCTGTTTTCCGCATCCTGGCTGATAAGGCACTGACACCCTTGGCAATCAGGAAGTTGATAGTTTAGCTCCGGTACCAGCCCTAGGAACTGACCCTTCAGTAGATACAGATGATTGGGTGCATAAAAGAGCAGCCACTGCATTGCCTGGTGAGATGGCAGATTGCCCTTGAAATACAGTGACTTGGTTAATGTAGTAGCAGCATATCCTGTGTATTCTAAACAACACCCAAGGCAGCTACCAAAGGAGTCTGAGGGCTGTCCACCAGAATTCCCAACCAGTGAAAGTTAGCAAATTGACTATATTGGCTTTTTCCCTGCAAGTGAGGGTTCTAAATATGCCTTGGTTTATATGGACATTGCATGTGACTTAAGCTTTCCCATTACCACGCAACCAGGTGGCCACCATTAGGGGATTAGAGAAGCTGAGCATTATCTATGGGCTTTGGGATGTGTTGGAATTAGATTATCCTGAAGACCAGCCCACACTCACCCATCTTCACATTAGCAAGGCAAAGGTGAGGTCTACCTGGCTCTAAGCCTGGAATCAGAATGACTCATCGGGCTCCTTTGATCCTTGGGGTTACACGTCATCCAGGTTGGGACTATTTAGCCTCTGAGAGTCCTCATCAGCCTCACTACACACAGGACTTCCGACACTGCTCTGCCTTCTCTGGCAATTACTTCCCAAGGTAGGCAGGTTCCTGGGAAGTAGGGGAGGGGAGGGAGCAGTGGGACTCCACTCACGGCTTCCCTCCTTGCTGCCATCCAGGGCTGCTGTGACTGTGATCAGAGTCATGAATGTGCTGGGAAGGGGTGTGAGCCCACATTTACCCTGAGACTTTGGGAGCAACCGGTCTTGTTCCAGCCCAGGTTCCTCTCAAGCCCTAAGATGTTGGCTGGGTTGGGGGCAGTGGTTAGAGCGCAGACATGAGTAGAACCCTGGAGATGAGGGAGCCAGGCAAAGTCATTAACTTAAAAAGCTGGGGTCTGTGCAGATCTAGGGGATGTGCTAAAGTGGCCCACAGACTGCTCTAGAAAAGAGGGCATGGTTCAGGGCAACAGGGTGACACCCAGTGCATCATAAATCAGGCACAGCATTTCGAGTTTCACAGCCTGTTTCTGGGAAAGAGAGTGGTGACCATAGGCTGTGCACCTAGAGTTCCCACGCTGCCACCAAGAAGATGTCAGCTAAGGCCATAGAGAACTCGGAAGGATTTGCCGCTGATGCCCTCCTGCAGGAGTCTCAGTCGGATGGTGAGTGCCCTCGGGGAGGCTCTGGAGGGTGAGGTGGCCCAGGGCTTGAGATGCATGGCCCAGAGCAGAGGGGATCTGAGCAAGGCTCTTCCCTCCTGAGCCTCAGACTACCCCTCTGTAAAGTGAAGGACCTGCCACCTCTCCGTTGGTGGCCAGGTCCCCCTCTCTGCCTTCTCCATGGGTTCATCTCCAAACAATCCCATCACCTCTCCATGCAGCTGCCACTGAGGTCCCCTCCCCACTCCAGAGTCCTTGGGAGCTTCGGGAGATGGTGGAGGGTTTGTATAGGGCCCCTGGGCCTCATGCCCTCCTTGTGGCCTGGGGCCGCCCTTCGGTCCCACAGCTGCTGCCTTGTGTGCTCCCTCTCTGCTTTTCCAGAGGATGAACCCTCCCAACTATCCCCTGCTGGCTCTACTCCTGGGGGGCCACCAGTGGATCCCCCATCAGGAACCCGATGGACCTTCCACAAACTCCACAGACCCACCCGAAGACAAAAAAAGGGATTTACGCCGCACTGCAGGTAACTGGTCCCCGGGCACCAGTCTGTGAGATCTCACCCCACCCTCACTGCTCAGCTCGGCCTTCTAAGCTTCAGCGTTAGGGCACATGTCCCTGGTGGAATTCCTGCTGCACCCACGTCACCAGCAAAGGGGCACCACGTACATGGCAATGAAGTCAGCTATGCTCTAGAGTCAGAGGGACTGCACTTCAGGCCCTGGCTCTCTGACTGACTGACTTGCTGTGTTACCCCAAGCCAGTCATGTGTCCTCTCTGGGCTTGGTTTGTAAGTGCGGGGTAGGACTTTGTCCTTGGCCTCATGCTTTTCACAAAGGTCTGCTCAAACCCCTAGTCAGCCAGTGGGAGGCCTGGCTCTTTACCTTTTAAAGTCCACTGCCGGTGCCCTATTGGTCCCACCACTCCCAAGGCCTGGGTACGTTTCGTTTCTCTAGTTGCACTCCTCCCTTGATGCACCAGGGCCTGGTCCATACTTAGCTCCCAGGACATACCCTTGCAGAGCAGTCTGACCTCTGAGGTGGGGCCAGCCAGGGACAGGGCAGCAAAAGTTCCACTCTGTTGTTGTTTTTAATTGTGGCAAAATACACACAACATGAAATTTGCCAACTTAACCACTTTTAAGTGTACATTCCATCATGTTAAGCATATTTGCATTGTTGCGTAACCAGTTTTCAGAGCTCTTCATCTCTCCAAACTGAAACTCTGTCCCCATTAAACACTAACTCCTGTCCCCTCCTCCTCCAGCCCCTATCAACCACCAGCCTACTTTCTGTCTCTACACATATGACATATTGAGTGCTGTTGATGTAGGAAATGTCCAAACCTGTAGAGAATCTTCATAAGAATTTATTTGAACCAAACCGGTGACATATGCCGGGAAGCAAGATCTCAAATGTTCCTGAGAATAACAGTTTTGCTGGTTCTTTGGTGCATTTGAAATTAAGGAGGGGCTGCAAGGAAGATTGAAGAAAGGCAGGCAGGGATTGGATTACAGGACAGTTAACAAGTTTATGTGCTCTCTTGAGTGTTAATGCCCCCTTCTGGGGGTATTCTGCTATTTCAAAGGTGTGCTAACCTCAATGTAGCAGAATAAGGAACAGGCTGGCTTAAAACCTTTCACTAAAGAAGTTATAGGCCTGGGACGCAACTATCCCCCATGACCTGCCCAGTTAGGACTTTATGGTCAGATCACCCTGTGAGGCTGCTTTCTGTAGAACCCCTTTTATTCGTCCACAGTGGGATCATACAGTATTTGTCTTTCTGTGTGTGTTTATTTTTGTTAATTCTTACCCAACGATATTTTAGAGAGAGTGGAAAGTAGGGGATGGGAGAGAAAGACACAGAGAGAGAGAGAGGAACATCAATGTGAGAAAGACACAATCCTGCTCACTCCTGGCTGAATAGAAACTTGGGGGCCAGAGCAGAGGCAGGGGGGCAGTTAGGGAGCTACTGTAGTAATCCTGGGGAGAGATGATGGTAGTGGCTTGGCCCGTGATGAGAGAGGCAAAGCATGGTCAGAGTAGATATTTTTGAAGGTTAATTAGCAGGATAGATTGGTGTGGAGAGAGGGAAACTGGGAAAAATTGGCTCCTGGCTGCTTGTCCTGAGCTGCTGAAAGAATGGATCTGCCTTTCACTGAGCCTGGACGACCACTGGAGGAGCAGTTGCGGGAGGGGAAATAAGAGTCCACCTTGTGACCTGTTATGTTTGAGGTGCTTCTCAGACACCCAGGAGGATGTGCCGAGCAGGTCTGGGCCGGACATATCAATTTGCAAGTCGTCAGAATACAGGTGGTCCCGTAAGTCATGGGACTGGGTGAGGCACCCAAGGAGCAGAGCTGAAACAGAGAAAAGACCTGAGGCTGAGCCCTGGACATGCCACCATCAGAGACCAGGGAGAGGAGGGGGGACCAAACCAAGAAGGAGAGGCAAGTGTGGCAGGAAGAGAAGTGAGAAAAGATGTTTCCTGAAGGCCAGAGGAGGAAAATGTTTTCTAGGCCAGCCGTAAACAAATGAGGTGGCTTAAAACAACAGAAATGTACTCTCCCACCATTCTAGAGGCTAGAAATCCCAAATCAAGGTGTCGACAGGGTCATGCTTCTTCTGAAGACTTGAGGGAATAACCTATCCTATGCCTCTTCTAGCCTCTGGTGGCTGCCAGAAATCCTTGCTGTCCCTTGGTTTGTAGCTGCATCGCTCCTATTTGTCTCTATCTTGTGAACATGGTCTTATGTCCTGGTGCCTAACCACTGTACAAACTGCCTCTCCCTCAGTGTAGAAAATGACTTCGAGGAGCTTTGCTGTAAGGAGTGGATCAAAGTGAGGTGGCACCTAGAGGAAGGTGTGGTACAGAGGGAGAGGCTGCCTTTGTTCCTCAGGTGGGGGGTGGTAGAGCCTGGTTGAATGCTCTCGGGAATGGTCCAGGACAGAGGGAGATTTCGATGGTGCAGAAGCAAGGGAGGAACACTGTAGGAGCGTCTCCTTGTCGGCGAGGGCAGCTCGGCCCAGCACCCAGCGCTCAGCACAGAAACGGGAGGGCAAGAGGAATGAGCGGGGAGAGGATGGGGTAGTGGACTTGCTGAAGGAAGGGAGCCTACGGAAGGTCTCTTCTGGTTGCCTTCATTTTCTTAGTGAAATGGGAAGCTGGGAGAAACAAGAGGATGGAGGTGTGGTAGATTTGAAGATTGGGGAGAAGTTGTGAATTCTAGGTGTTCTCAGAGTGGGCAGTGAAGAGAACAGGAAAACTTGGTGGGGTGGAGCACAAGGGAGGAAGAGGAGGGGAGAGCATTAAGGGTCTGTGAGGGGCACTTGGGATGCATGGGTATGAAAACCTACATGGGTGAGGAGGGCACAGAGGACATGGGCTGAATGAGGGACAGACTTGTGGGTTATATTGTGTCCCCTCAAAGAGATATTTGAGATCCTAACCCCTAGTACTTGTGCATGTGTAGGTGTAATTAAGATGTAAATTGAGATGAGGCCATATTGGGGTATGGTATGACTGATGTCCTCATGGGAGGGGAGGGGAG